TTAATCAGACAGTCATTTTATGAAGAACTGTGTGCAAAAGGTTATTCGAGCCCTGCTGCAAATAGATTTATAGGTATAATTGCCATGTTGAATGACCCTCTGTACATAGGCTCATTAAACTGGCCATCAGTCAAGAAGTCTAATTGAGGCAGGCCAACAGCACGCCGCTGGGACCACGCGGCTGGCTGCAAACAAAACCTCTCCGCAGAAGCCAGCTCTCTGAAAGCCACCAATATCACTGCTTCCCATCCTCCAGGCAGTTTCTGCCACTGTCCCTCCTGCCAGCTGAAACCCTGGGCAGGAAGGAGGGATAAGAGAGGATAAGAGGAGAGCTTCCACGCTTATCCTGGCTCCCTTGTCCATAGTGACTTTACATCATTTACAAAACCCATTGAGGGACTGGGCGCAGCATGAAAACGGTTTTATTGACAGCTGTAGTTTTCAAAAAGCATTCTGGCCTTTGCAGCTGGGAATGGCTTGAGTATGCAGGCTTCAAAGGCACTGAGGTCAGAGGGCAAATGTAAGGGCACTAAACATTCTTGATGATATTTCATATTTTAAGAGCATCTCTTGCTTTCACTGGGGCAGGGGGGAAGCACAGAAGCATCCAGCCCAGGATTTGAAATGCCCTTGACTGGTGCTGGGTCCAGCGTGGACTCCTCCAACAGCAGCAGGCAAACCTTGCCACTGTCTCTGGCAGCAGACACGTGAAGCTGTAGGCTGGCACTTTAGAAATCCCTTTTGCTCCTTCTTGTGGCAGCAGCTGCCTGCTCATGGACCCTTGTCACAATCTCTCTGTACCTGCAGTACCCACCTACACAATTATGTCTGCTGCCCTAAGCGGTCTGTCTTTCTGCTCACAGTCTGCGTGAGGATTGTCTCTAATTTCATGTACCAGAGGGGCGCTGCACTCAGGTTTTCACATGAAGGGCAGAAGTTGCTCCTGTCTCTCTCCCCACACCTCTTATGCACATGCACAGATGCCGTGCATTGCACATATGTTCACAGGGTGAAAGAAGGAAGGAGGAATCAGGCAGAACCCTAAACTATTCTGAAGCAGTCTGTGCAGCCTCTCACCTGGCTGCCCCAGAGAAGCTGTGGTCCAGGCCAGCCAGGGGGTGTTCCCATATTTTGTCCAAGCTGCTTCCTGAGACACCTTCAGGGTGAAACCTGCTCCATCTGCTGCACGCTGCACTGAATCATTAAAGAGTACTTGGGGAAAAAAACCGCACACCAGAGTCACAGGCAGGTATATCAATTGAATGTGTTCACATTATCTATTCCTATACTCACAATATTCTGATGTTGCCTTTAGTTTTGTGTATCTCTCTGATCAGATATAAAAGATCCACATAACACCAAGTTTCTCAAACACAAATAAAACAAAGCAGAAAAATTAAAAAGCACTAATACAGAAGTCTTCAAAGCAAAAGCAAATATGAACAAATAGAAATCCATGTGTCTCAGACCAGTCACATCACCACCTGAAGATGCTTCTGATGAAGAGGGGTACCAGTTTCCATCCTTGGACAAGGCAAGGATAGCTTAGTATGTCCAGGCCCTTGTAGTATTTCCCTTCACCCTGTCTCACCATGACTGGTTCAGCCTCAGTACACTCCAGACTCTTTTCCCAGTACCACTGGGCACTGTATTTATGAGTGCCGCATATGAGAGAGGGATTGGGAAAGCCAACTGTGAGCATGGCATGCTCCTGTGTTGGTCGCCTGCCATTCATGCCAGGGCCTCACAAGCAAGCTGCACCGCCAGTGCACATGTTCAGGGAACCACACTGTAGTAGAAAAGCCTTCAGGCAAGCCTGGGATCTCACTTCCGGAGATGCTCTATGGATGGACAATAAATTGGGTCCTGAGGGCAGTCTTGGGGCACTTCTCAGAAACGATTTCCCCCATCCTGTGGTTCTCTTCCACAAACCATATTTGAGTTAGGTGAACGAAAAGGTACCCCAAGTTCTTAAGGCACATAAACACCCTCTTTTCTGCCAACAAGCAGCATTTCCTCCTGTAATACTAGTTTTTTCCAATCTACCTAGGTCTTAATTTCTCTTGGTCTTCTACCCCAAAGCAAAACATATTCGTTAGCATGAATACCACCTGCTGTCCTGCAGTTAGCACAGCTGCAGTGCTGCAAACCCCTAGGCATTTGCAGTGCCCCTCACTCGGCACGCTTCAGTCTTGACTCGAGTGTTTGCCTTGGCCCCGTCGCCCACAGAGGGCACTGCTCGTAAATGTAACCCAGCAAACGCCAGTCAGCACTCGGGAGGCTGCAGTTTCCACCCGGCGCAAATTGGAACACTTCATGCATATTATTACTGCCGTCTCCCAGAAGAAAGGGAGCAGCAGGCTGATGTCACACAAAAGAACATGTTTTTAAAGCACATACTGTGCATTTGTACTCATGCTGAGACGTCAGGCAAAGCTTCCCACTTTGTATCACAGTGGAACGCATCTAGCCCCCCAAGAGCAGAAGCACATCAGTTCAGTGATGTAAGAGAATAGTACCTCAAAAAACGTTTGATATTTCCATATGCAACTGTGCATATCACTTCATCTTGGGCAAGGAGGAGGAACATGCTGTTCCTCTGTCCACATGTGGGCTACAGACATCCCTTGTAACACACTTTTAAATTTTCATGGCAAGTTTCCATTTGTTCCTTTACTACTGCAGCCAGTAAAATGTTTTTCTCAAGTCCCCAGTTTAAGAATAAGGAGATAAAGGTTTTAAATATCAGAGGCAGTGACCCCACTGATAGGAATTTTACCACTACTTTCTGGGGTGTAGGGATTTCAACCTGTAATTCCAAGAAAGGATCCAGATATAGTTTGCTGAGCCTGCTTTTAAATGTGCAAGAAAGAGGTAAGTGTACATTTATGCAAACACCTACAAAGAGAGTAAAAAATCTATGGCCTTCTCACCCACCTACCTCATTTTAAGTGATGCAAAAATCCCAGCTATGTGCAATCTATGCATACAGAACAGAGCAGCCAAAAAGGGAAGAAAAACATCTACCCACTTTCTATCCCACTTCTGCGCTTTCTCCATTGCTTGGCATGCTCCAAAGGGACACATAGGAACATGCTCAAGGACAGGGACAGCTTACAGGACAGTAAAAGAAAGGACTTTATGGTTCCAGTCCACAGAGAAAATTGCTGAGCTGTTGCTTCTTTAAATACAAATCAGATCCCATGCCCAGCAATGCCCAAGCCCCTGGAAAGCTCTCCCCAGTGATGAGCCCTGGTCCTCTCCCACAGGAAACATGGCTGGCACAGGGAAAACTTAGATGCTCAAGATGCAGCTGTGGCTGGTGCCACAAGGAGAACACATGCATGAGGATAAACAAGGACTGGACAAGTTAAGGATAACGCTGCCATGAAAACTAAATCACAAAACCAGGGATCATCCTGTCTCCATTTCAGCAATAGCAGGATGTAAAGCTCAGCTGCTCTGTAGAATCCAGCAGACCTGAACATTTTCCCTCACAAGTGTGGAGGACCCAGTCACCCATTTTCACATTAGACTCAGTAAGTTTGTGATGAATAATGCCAGGCAGTGACACACAGCAATTTGTTTATTCAGATCAACCTTTTAATCCCACGTTGCCCTCAAAATATATTACCAAATATACCCTTCCATGAACTGTGCTCTAAGTTCTGAGGTGGTCACAGGACAAAAAACTCCCCACAGAAAAAAAAAAATAAAAAAAAATCAACCTTTTTTTTAGAATTTGTTTTGCTTTCACTGATTTGTTTCTTCCCAAAACTTTAGGATTCTGCAAAATTTTAATCTGACACAAAAATCAGGATGCAGTAAACAGCAGATTCTTTGTGCAATCACACGTCAATTAAATGACCATAAAGCAATGGTCACACCAATACTTTAACAAGAGAATTGCTTCTACAAAATCCTAATAAACACATTCCTGAAAAACAGTCATTTTAAAAAATGTCTTAATTGGTTTTGATGTGTCACAACAGCTTGTTCTATTGGGGTAAGTGTGTCCTAAAAAATTAAGAAATTTTGCAGGTTATCTCGACACACAAATAAGCTCTTAGAAATTAAAGCCTCAAAACATCTCTGTAAACCAAGGACTTTACAAGCAGGGCAGCTTGCATAAACAGGCCAAGCCACATGTCAAGATCATATAAGGACTTGGTCTTGACTCTTGTGATGCTCATATCACAACACATATTTTGTAGAGAATGACTTATTATGATTATGACAATTACTGTTCAGGTTTCAGATTAGCATTATCCTGCTGGAAAGTAACCACTCCATAAGACTGGATGTTTCTGAGCAGAACAGTCTGATCCATTACAAACCTTCTCCAGATTTAACCCATAACTGCAAGCTTTAAAACACTAACCCTGCATGGCTCCCCAGTTATTTTGATTCTAAAATGGAAGTGCTGCATCATGCTGAAACTGCAAAGTAAAGCTGATGTAGCAATGAGCATCAGCTGCATCGTTAGAGAAGTACAACTCTACAGATCACAGGGTAAATGTCACTTCTTTCACTCTAGGATGGGTTTCCCCAAGCCTTTTGTTTTGCTTTTATTTGGTTTTAGATTTTGGCTTTGCCAGCTGCAAGTGTTTCCCACCGCCTATTTCCCAAGGGACTTGTCTCACCTTCATTGCCAGCAGGTGTCACACTGAAGGATGCGAAATACCCTTGCTACCAAGCTCAGGCTGCAGTCCCTGCTCTGGAGATTGCCCAGGAAAGCCCTGTTCCCCCTTCTTCCTGCCAGGGCCAAAGTCAGTGCCAGCACCTTGAACAACCCCATGTCTGTAAGTTTTCTACTTGCATTATCTCTTTCCATAGCCAAGAGATGAAAAGCTTCCCCTGCCAGCTGCCCACAGCGCCAGGCTATCAGGCAGCTGGTCTAACTCTTTACAAGCTGCTTCCTGTCCTCTAATCACAAGATTATTTATTGATTAATAGTTGCATATTTCTGTAAAAGAGCAAAAATGCCTCTCTGAAAAAGCTTAAATATATAAAAACACTTCATAAAAATATTTATTTAAAAAGTCAAAATGCCCAAGGAGCCTGTAAACATTGCCTGTATAATCTCTGTTAACTGGAATAATTTGAAATATAGTCATTCAGGCTCTTTTCTGCCCTGTCCAGTAAGATTTTAAGATAAGCAATAGAAATGCCACTTGTCTTGTAGTTTGACCCTTATCCCACCCAGTTTTCTTCTTTCTTTGTTTCCAATATGACAGCTTGATTTCCCAGTGTTGGCAATTTTCCTTGTAGTCATCATTTGTCTTTTCTTTTAACAGAGTTCAGCATGGCCTGATTCTGAGCCTTTCTTTTGGAGTGAGCTTGAGGTCTGATAGGCAGCAAGAGCAACACCAAGATGCTCAGAATGTGCATGTGAAAATACATAGACCTGGGAACAAAAGCAAAAAAAGAATATTACATTTTTTGTGGGTCAGAGCATGAACTGTGAAACCTCAATAAGCCCATGCAGAATTTAGTGCTAAGAGATGTGTACAGAAAGTATGAACCTGACCTAGAAAGCACAAAAATACACACTTGAATTTCACACAGCCTATGTATGTAATATCTGCTGGTATCAATGAAAATGTTGCCAGGGATGTTAATGAGGTAAAGGATCAATCAGCAAACTGCAGAATCCAAAGTCTGACAGCTCAGATTAAGCCATGTAATTCAACCCCAGAATTATTCAGCCCATCTTCTTTAAAAGTTCAAGTATACAAGGCTACATTCTGAAGAAATATGCTTAGGACATAAAATTTCTGCAAGTTAATAAAATAAAAAGATTGTCAGAAAGAAAAAACTTAATACCAATTGTTGAGATTTGAAATAAATCAAAACACTCAATTTTTAACTGGGGAATGTCAGGTTCACATTAGGGCTGTTTCTGAAGGCAACTTCAGTGTTCTACTATTTTTAAGGAATCTAAGGAAGTAATCACTTCCTATGAAGTATACAAAATGAAGAGCATAATCATTTCTGAAGGCAACTTCAGAAACAGGTTTCTACTCAGAGATATCTTTATTTGGCATCTTATTAAACACAAGGGGGGTTTATTTCAAATAATTTGGTATACACGAGATGGAATAGAAATAAAAACTATTTAAACAAATTACATAGGGCTCTGGCAGCTTGGGGAGGATAATGTTTAGAAGCAGTATGGTCCACCCCTTAAAAAGAGATGCACCTTTTTATGGTCGTTTATGTTTCTTACCATAGTTCTTAGTATCTTTGTAAAGTGCTTAAGACCACCGCTAGGTATGCAGTATTCCAAACACTCATGCTGTGGGCCAAAGGCCTACAATTTCCTTGCTTAGCAGTCTTGAAGTTTAAATGTTAACTATGTTCAAAATCACTTGGAAAAAAAAAAACACAAAACATTGAGGAATGAAACTAAGAAAGATCTGGTAATATGGTAATATATGGTAAGCTTTCTGTGTTGAAATCAAATGTTTTAAGAAACGGGAACAGGAAATGTCAAAATCCAGCCCCCTTCAAACAGACTTACTGACATCAGCTTCTTGACTACCAGTTTTATGCCTTTTATGTTCGAGGACCAAAACCTTAACCAAAACCTGTCACTCTATTTTGACAGTTCACTGTAGATGAAAGGAAAATAAAACAATGTAGTCTATTCTCCCTTTGCAAATTATTTTTTCAATTTCTCTATTTCAAGTTATTTTAATCAGAGTATATTTGATATACTCTGCAACACCAGTGTTCTACTATTTTTAAGGAACCTAAGGAAGTAATCACTTCCTATGAAGCATTCATAATGAAGAGCATAATCATTTCAAGAAGTAATGCTCTGTCAGGCACCTTCTTTATCTGCTCCTGACCGATCATATCTCCTGTTCTACACATTCAGCAGCTAGAAACCTGGTCTTTTCTCATCAAGTCCTTCCTACTGCCAACTCACATGTTTCTTAACCTCTCCAATCTTGGCCACTGTTAATGGTCGAGACTCAACTGTTTTGAAAGAGGAAACTGAGATGTGAAAAGACACATAAGGACACAGAAAGGCTGAGAAGTACAGAGGAAGTGTTCTGCATTGGCGTTATTACCATCTTGTTAAGTTACAGGAGTGCAAAAATCACCAAATTATTAAGCATTCTTTTTGAGCTATTTTCAAATTTGATGGAATGTCAAGTGCCTTTAAGTGTGTTTTTGGGTTATTTAATAAGAGCCTGTGCCAGTCTGGAGAGTATGAGTCAAGAGAAGAGGACTTACTTGTAAAACTTAATAGTGGGCTCAACAGCCAGCATAACAAATGGTGCAACAGTATAGCACACTGCCAGTTGAGTGACAACCCAGGTGACAAGATCATAGGCTATCTTGAGAGGCACTGAAGATAGGAAGTAATGTCTAAAATTGTTTCTTACCTGCAGGACAGGAAAAAGTAAACAGAAAAATTCATAAACTAATTTCTCAGGCAAAGTCACACATTGTAGTATATGACTCTTCATGTATCATCAGCATTAGTATTACAGAAAAGTTTACACACCAGATAGAAAGCACTGCATGTAGGAAGACAGACATGTATTGACTGGTACGTCCAAGATTCTACAGAGGAGCAAACAGAGAAGTGCCCCCCAGTTTCTTCTATAGTAATCAGAGGAGAAGACTCTCATGCTGGGTATCTGGCATATCTTTGGGGAAGGGAGTTGTGATTTGATGTTTTTCCCTCCTGATTTTATTACTGGTTATTGATGGTGAAACAAAATTACTTTAAATGAATGAATATGTGTTTTACCTTTGTGTGTACGTGTTGTTCCCTAAAGGTTTTAGTTTAGCTTCATATCTATGAAATCCCATAAATGAGAGTCAAAGGACATCAAGAACACATGTTCAGCAACCTGTTCTAGCCATAGCAGTTAATATGACCACTAGTTTAATTCACCTTTAAATTGGCCTGGTTATTTATCCATAGTCAAACTCTCAAAGACAACAGTGGTGCTTCCCAGCCCTGCGCAACTGGCTGGTTCAGCCTGAAATATCAGCAGTGATAAATTAAACAACAGCGAGTCATATCTTCACCATTTTGTCTTTGGTGACTGTACCCAAGATGAGGCACATAAACACCATAAACCAGTTTACTGCATCAATCGCATCCCCATGAAAGAGTTTATGTTTGCGCTAATCCTCAACTCATAACAGCTTCTTATGAAAGACTGGGCCCAGAGCAGATTACACACAGCATATAGGTAACATGACCTAGCAGAAGTCTGGGCTCTAGTGTGTCCTTGAATCTCAAGCTCATTTGACTATATGGACATAGCCAGTGGGACTACCAACTGTACACCCACGAGCAACATTTCCGCTGACAGCCAGGGACAGCAATACAGCATGTGCAGAATTGGTGCTGGTTATAACTGCTCAGGGTACTTTGAAATCAATGCATCAATACAGAATAAAGTTTCAGTGAACAGCAAGCCTGCAAACGCATGAGAGAGAACTCACAGCAGGGACAAGCTGCTTCACCATGTCACGGTGGTCCCTGCAGTTGACAACTGGATAGTATCTAGCATAGCCTTAGAAGAGAACAATGAAAGGTACATACTGCTCTGGCTGCAAGTGTGATAAGGATTCCAGTGAGAAACGTAAAATAATATCCAGGATAGATACCATGCCACAGGGCAGACAGGATAAATGTTAAAGCTGTAGGGTACCAGGGAGCTCTGTCATAGCAGACACTGCAAAACAAAAACAGAACAAGAAAAGGCTGAATACAATTGAACAACTGACACTGCAGTTCAAATCCTTCTCTGTTTTTAAGGACTTCTGTTTTCTTAATGGTCTTTTCTTGCCTCTTTTGCAGACCAGGCCATGAGGCACTCTCTCTTCATTTAGGTGGAGGTTTTATGTATTTATGCAGTGAGTATCAAAAGTGTGCTTGTACAGATATTCCTGGTGTTCACAGTATTTAAATAAATAATGGGGCAAAGGGCAGGTAAAACTTCATTCACCTTTATACCTCTATCTGGAATCATACTTTACCCTACAAGATCAAGAGTGACTCAAAAGACAAAGAGATATGACTCCACCCTTCACTCAGGAATGGAGGCATTTTTAGGCACTGTTATCTGGCAGATGCTGGGAACAACTAGGAGTGCCACAAGCTATTGCAAAGTGGGGGATTTCTGCTAACTTTAGCAGCCCAAAATCTTACTCCAAAGATGCAAGCGAATGATACCATTTCAAGAACACACCAGCTGGTCTATTTGGCTATCTGAAGTTTAACTGAAATGTTGTGCTCCAAAGAAACAAGTCAAGATAATGAAGATAATGCACTTCTTATCATGAACATCATTTGAATCATGAAAAATAGTGGACATTGACTTTTAAGATACATATATAATACCAAAGCAGTTATAACTGCAATAAATCCGTGCCTGCTTTTCAGATACCACATTGACTATACACTGAGCTTTAATCATGCCAAAAAGTGTAATGAGTAATAACACACAGTTCAATCTACAAAATTTGGATTTATGCTAGTATTTATATGTGCCTTATCAGTCACTGGTTAAAATCAGATCATCTCAGTGCTATAAGAAGTCTCTTCTCCGTATCTCGGAGAAGAGCAAGGACCTCCTGGCAAGCACCTTCTGGTAACTCCAAACCAGACTACATGGGTGCTCTGAATACTTCGATTTCTCTCCAGTTCTAGCTGACTGAATCCCAGTGACACAGCAAGGCTCACGTCTGGTAGTAATACACATGGGAAATCTAACATAGCAAAGTGAAACAGTAGAGAAAGAGTAACAGGCAAACAGAAGCCTAAAAGATGCCATCAAAACTCTACTACTTTTTATTATGGAAGACTTGAACAGTTCATTTATGCCTTTGCTGCTCATATATAAAATGCAGGCATTTTACATTTGCAACAATAAAAGTTCACAGCACCAAATACCCTTGTACTCCACCAACCGTTACACACACAGGAAACAAAGAAAGAGCAAGAGGCTATACATTTGTGAGATTCACCAGTCAGGGAGTTTCCAAGCCATCTATGGTTTTGGGGTCTCACAAGCATGATACTGATTCATTACTCTTACCGTTTTAGCCAGGCAGCTGTCTGAATGTTCCAGTTTTCAATGTACATTTTAAAACTCGTTGCAGTCTAAGAAAGAAGTTCACATGATAAGTTAGCACTGACACCTGTAAAATAATACTTGCATTTTAAATTAGAGAGGAGATAGACAGAAAATATTGATTATAGTAGCTATTCTGCTGTGCAGTAGTCCATTGTTACACTAACATGTTTTGGGAGGAGCATTAATTAGGCTGATTGCTCACCACTAGCACTTGGCAGTTGTTATCAGATCTCACTTTCTTCTGTAAAATTAAACACGTTTGCTTATTTTTCAAATTATGGGAAATCTGAAAAGCTTTCTTGTTTTAAATGCTTGGCCTTCCCTTCAGTTCCTAAACAGTGTCATTTTTGGAAGAGATATCTTGCCACCCATTATGCAGTCTGGGCTTACCTAGAGTGCTATTAAAACAAAGTGTTACAAAATTTAAAAGAAATTGAATGTTATTTGGAGAAGGCAGGAGGAAGACTGAAAAACATGCACAAAAATGTTAGGACTAAATTTAGAAGCCAATTCTCAGCCCATTGCCCAGCTTGACAAACCAGTTTGGACTCCAGGGTCCTGGGAAAACATCCTGCACCTCTCCACAGCAGTAATTCCCCCAGCTTTAGAGGGCTCCTGGACTCCATTAAGCATCAGTTCCCCGAATCCTGGTCAGTTCACCTCTGACAGTTCAACACCCCCACTCTCCCTTGTTCCTTGCCTGCTGACAGAAGCCTCTGAGGACCTCCTCACGAAGCAGGAGCATGAGTCACTGACACCACATTATTTTGCCATATTAGCTGAAGGGAAAGGCACACTGAAAAGATGGATTAATGACAAAGGCTTCCAAGGGGAATAGACAGATATTTTTGCACTCCACACAGAATCCTGAAGGCAAGCATTTCATCCTCTGTGTTTAAGGAGTTAAAACAATTAGCAATTCCCAATGTAGTGCTACCGCATTTTAATTGCATTGCTGCATCAAGTGAAGCCAAGAAAAACATCACTTCTCTGCCAACTAATATTGTCATTCTCTTTTGGCCTCCTTTAAGTTCTCCTGTTACATTACCAAGAGAGAAAGTAGCCATTGGTTGTCAAAATCTGCGTGCTGCCTAGACTTTCAAGTCCCCATCACATTTTAACACCCCCACAACTCCTACCATGTGCTTATCTTTACTACAGATCAGGTCATTTCTTAGCCATATTTGGCACTCAAATTCCCAACTTTTAAGCAATTTTGCATATGCAGGTGGCTATACCTGCTGAAAATACATTGTACAATCACACTTAAAATTCAAGTCCTGGAATTATTGGCACATGAAGTGATAATTCAAGGTTTACCCTAAATAATGTTTTTTGTTGTTTCTTTTTCTCATTTTGTTCATGATCACATCAATCGAGAGCACTCTGTTTTATGCTCCTGGAAATAATTCCTCCATCCTGATCTTTATTGCCCTTGTGAGCAGTAAAGGAAGTTTTGAGGGTCCTGCAGTTCAGTGAGTAGAGAGGAGCAAAGGCTCCTGTTTCCTTAATTTAGCTTGACTTAAGAGCACTGCTTGCACTTCACTTTCCTCCTTCATGCAGAAACTGCCTTGGCCCATCAAGGTAGGAAGCATCTTCTGCCACAAAACTGAATCAGACATTGATTTAAGATCTCAGAGTTGTATCTAGGGTGCTGCTGCTGTTGAGGAGTGTAAAGTATTTCTGGCTGTGTATTCTGAACCACTTAAGGAGAGATGTACACTGAGGATTAATTAAGGTAAAAAAGGAGGACAGAGAAAGGATGTTGAGAAAGACAGAATGTATAATGATACTTCCAGTTTTGGCATCTTTCAATGATGAATTACAGGAACTCATTTTTGAGAAGAGCTATTACAGCACATCTGCTTAGTCACAGATCATTCAGCAGTAAAGCAGTCAACTTATTTTCATCTGCTTTTCCTTTAAAATCATAACTACAGAATTACAGGGGGGAAGCTCCTCTTATTTTGAAAGAAAAGAAGCCTTTAGAAAGCAGTCTCAGACACACACATTTTCACATCTCGCTGGCATTCACAAAATACTTTTAGGGGCAAACAAATTACATTTTTTCTCTTATGCAAAAGATGGCCAATCATAAATAGCTTACAAAAGACTAATGGATGATAAAAGTATACTGGAGTCACAAGAAATAAGTGCGAGACATGTTCTGAGAAATAGCGTGGTTTGCTGAACACAGCTCTAGATCAGCAGTCATCTAAAGTTCTATATGGCCCTGCCAGTACCTATCCAGGTTCCTCAGTTTGTACCCATTATCTCTTCAACCCTTGCTCTTCACCATTTACAACAGGCACTCCAAGCATGTGCAGGGACTCAGACTTTGCAAGTGTTTGTGCAATGCCTACTCGTGGCGGACTCTTTCGCTATTACCACCCATCTCAACTGGGCTAAAAAAGTGGGAAGACTGTTAGAAGTAAACAGCATACACCACAGATGGTGGAGAATCATAGCTGTGAGCAATTTACTGACCTGCTGAACTCAGGCACAATCCACAGTAATTGACTGCTCATTTATAAAACATCTGATATAATCACTTATTAGCCCTCTATAAATTACTAAAAAACACAACCTGAATACAGAGCGTGACGAAGCCTGTGTGACAGATGCTTTTTATCTGCCCAGAAGATAAAATGCAAAACCTCTTCACGTTAAAGAGGGGTAGCCCGGTGGCACGGACTTGCTTTCCTTCTGGCAAAGCTTCTCCCCATTAGCATGGTTATTTCTCTATGATTATGCCAATGCAGCCAAAGCTTTAACTCACCTCAATGTTCCAGATATTCAAATTGGACAACAGGTCCCAGCGGAAAGTGCCTCTTTCATCAACTCCACTGAATCCATAACCAGCTGCATTGTTGACTGCATCTGCTGTAATGTCAAAGCAAAACAGATCAAATCAGACTGCTGGCAGAGTCACGTTTTCTTACAAGTCAGTATGACACTAAACACACGCTCAAGCCAGCTTTGTAGCAATTAGCATCCTCTCTTTCAGAGAGAAGCTTCCTCTTGGCAAAGGGGCACTGTTATAAGGCAACAGAAGAGCCATTTCCTCCAGAGGAAAGATTAGCTACTCCTTGGGCAGAAGAATAAATAATAAAAGAATAACAGATGGTAATCACTTTAATTTGCCTTTATTTTTCAAGATAGATAGAGTTGCCATAACATGACTAAGCACTTTCCTCAAAAGGGCACCTGTATGTCACAGCATTTTCCAGAATTAAGAACTGCAGTGTCTCAAATACATGCTTACCATTTCTATTAAGAGTTCCAAAGTGGTTGTTTAATTAAGACTCTCATTCAGACTTCCACAAAGAAAGACTTTGGCTATTGCTCAGTGCCTCACTAAAGTATCTCACCACTTCTATAAATCAAATATTGAGTAGCTTTGATTACAGACTTAACTACTTTAAGTCAGAAAAAGGCTTGGGTATTGGTAGGCATTTCACTCTTTGCGAAGGTGCCAGTCAACTACCTCCCCTTTCACTTTTGCCTGGGAACCACCTCACCACTGAGTTTCAAGATTATGCTTTCAACATGCCCCTGCTAGAAATCCTCTCTCTGAATACTAAGAAAACAGGAGGTATCCATTATCTCTGGATCTCCAGGTGCAGCCAACAGTGGTGATTATTGGAAGAAAAAGGAAAAACAAAATACAGGTAAGGCTTTCCATTCTAGATCATTTACAAACTACAAGCCGGGTTAAGATACACTTTAGAAAAGTCAGCATTTATTTGCCAAGGGTGAAAACTGATTTTGCTTTGTAAATGCTATAAGTACAGGCACAAAAAAAATCCTGGATTTGCTCCTCCTTGCTCCAAGGGAGGCAGGGACCCCTTAATGTTTCTTTGCCAAAACCTTGAAACAAGAAGTCTAGGGACATAATAATACAGAAGACCCATCAACCTCTTGCTTCCTGAGCTGCTGTCTGCAGAGCAAGGTGTGAAGCACAGAACCACAACTGCCTGCCTTTAAATTCCTCACAAGACCCCAAGCTCCACAAAGCCCAGCTGAGATTTTCCCAACTTTAACAGCTCTGGCTTATCACTTTCACGGCTCATTGGATGCAGGAGTTCAAACCCAAATTGGCTTCATCAGCAGCTGTGTTAGATTTACAGCCATGTTCCCATGACCATCTCTAATGCAGCAAGAAGCTGAACTTTCCATCTTTCCATGGATCTGGAGGAATTCAGTGGCAAGGCTTTTGAACAATAGCGTGCCTGTCCTTTTCTGAGAACAGGAAGCGCTTATCAGCCTTTTCAGCAGGCACTTTTGTGATGCCCTGGGCCATGCCACCAGGAGCTAAACTGCAAAAGGATAAAGTGTCTGCTGTTCTGCTGCCTAGATTTGAAAAGTGAATAATAGAGGCCTCGCCCTCCGGTATGCAATGCATGCTTTTGTGAACTGCCTCATTTGTAAAGAGATTTCTACAGCCTCTATGGCTTAGTCATATCACAAATCCAAGTTCAGTTTATCTCTTTGATAATGGACTTTTAGTTAATTATAATACTGGAAAAAAAAAAAAAACCTGAGGCAACATTTTAACACTGGGTTGCACAAAAATAAGATTCTGAGCAAGCAATTCTTTATCCCAAAGCCTTTCCCATCCTACACATGCCAGTCCTGGCCGCCTTCCCTCGATCTGTCAGTTTTAGTCTCAGCAATTAAATCGTAGCCTTGTAATCAATTTGCCTGGCTCTTTCCTTCCCATCTCAATGACACTCTGCTCAGTTTCAGGTGTATATATTGCTGGCTGGGCTTTCAGGACCTCCTCTACACACAAAGTCTCTGTAATAACAGCAAAACAAATCCAGTCTCCCAATTTTCATCCTGGCCTAGAAGGACTCAACTCCTCACACTTAGATGGGAAAAGTGACTTCTAAAAGAAAGAAGGTAAAATACAAAAAGAGTATTTTGGCCAGTCTAGCTGGCTAGTCTAGCTGGCTCCCAATAAAAGAAACCTTTTTTTCTCTGATGAGTTCCTCTTTCTTCTCTTCTCCTTTTCCTTCCAGAGATTCTTGGGTCCTTCTTACCATCTCCTTTGCTCCCCATGCTCTCAAATCCTTTCTCTTTAGCTCTCAAAGCTAACGTGAGCACAGAACCGCACTGTGCCCTAATGCAAATCCTAACTCCAGCCCCCCAATAAGCACCACAGCTTTCTGGTACAGATGCATGTACTAAAGATGTCCCTAAAGGAAGAGAGAGATCTGCTTGCACTGTAACATACTTGTAAAGCCTGAGCCAGCATGACACATTTTAACCTCCTAACCCCACTGATACATGCAAATTATAAATAATGTATAAAATCAAAGTTTAGAGGGGACAAACATTTTTCCCCTCAGTAAAATTGATTTGGTATAGTTAAAAATTTTTAAGTAAGATGGGATTGTTACATTGACTTTACTGACAGCTGAAAAGCAGATTTGGTGTCAATGGGAATTTGGCATAGGGAATGTCAGACAAGATAGGTTCGACACATATTTTTCAAAACTTTTGACGTCTCCCCACTTAAGCAGGGTCCTCTGCCTACAAAAACACATGTACAGGAACACAAGAACCCACTTCCACAGGACTACAGGTCTAGGAACTAATTTGTTCCCCCTCATCCCTCATGTTTCAGACCACTTTCCCCATTTATGAACTTGTTACCCACAGAAATAAGTAATGTAGCCAGACTTACCTAAAGTCCATGCAAAGTAATACTTTGGTTTTGCTGCCTGTGCTACAACATACAGGTAACCAAGTCTTGACAAGAAGGGTGTTTTATCAAGAAATTCGTTATCAATAATATATGCCATAGGAAAGCTCTTGGTAAGTGTCAAGAATAAAATGAGAGATACTAGTGTGATACACAGCTTGTACATCACTGCTCCCTAAAAAAACACAGACAACAAAGAAGCATTCACTAGAAACATTTACTTAAGGGGGAAAAAAAAGCAGTGCTCATGACATACAAAACCAATGCATTTCAAGAACCAGTAAAGTTAGCAGTGACAAAGTTGATAATAATTAAAGAGGTGGTAAAGAAAAGGTTACAGTCAAAGCTTTGGCTTAATTTGGTTTATTGAGCTACCTATAGATAGGTACAAAAGACAGGAATCAAAACTGGTGATGAACTGCACAAGAGACTCCCAAAATCAGTCAGTGGAGGTCCTCAAATGAGAAAGGAAATAAGCAAACAAAACCCTACAATGAAAACCAGAAATCCTCCCTATAGGTATTGTTGTCTCCTCTAACTAAACACTGGATTCCTCATGAAAGCCAAAAGCATTCAGTACAACAGTAGGTCCTACTGTTCAGCCACCATCCAGAGGTCCAGCTGGAAATCACTTGTCCTAAAAGCATACCTTTTACCCCATACTGTGGGAAGGTATGCATGCTGTATATCTGCTATGCCACAGTATTTTCTATTACAGCTCTCTAGCTTTCTATACATCACTATTGACAATCATGTCAGTAGTTTGAAGCTCGATTTCTAATACACATCAGGAGTAAACTCTTCTTGATACAGTCATAAAAAGGTAAATCTAGTACTTGGGTGCCATGTAAAAATTGACTCACATTCTCAAAAGACCAGTAGCAGCGCAACATGCAATCGAAACAACAGTGTGGTTTTGATCCCAAGTACTCTTTATATATTCTCCATATTCTGGAATAAACCAATGTGCAATTACCTTTAATGCTAATTTTAATGTTTTCTGCTAACTCACATCTAAAATGATATAGGTCTTATTCTGAAAAATGTAAATCAGAATTAGCACCACTAAAGTCAGTAGAAATAGAAGAGTGTGCAACAGGAATCAGATATGCATAGGCACATACTCAACTTCTGAGGAGGCATTCTGCACACACTCACAAAGCTACACATTCAGTGTCACCTTAAGATAAGGGAGAGGAATTTGGTTCTTGTGCTACGTTACCCTGCCTTACAAAGTCACTTTCTAAGAAGGTTTTAGTATTATTTTAAATATATAAAATAAAATTTGTGTTAATAGTATGTGAAAAAATGACCTCCACATCATCTTACGGCTTGAGATTCTCTTACAAAGAAGAAACTAGCTGGAGAAGCTAGTTTCTGATTAGACGTGATTCATGTACTTCTAACATCTCTTGCGCTATGGGTGAGATTTGACTTGCATTCCTCTTCTGTCTGAAGCTGAACAGCAACTTGTCATTGTCAGAACCTGCAGACCATTCCCATTGCTACACAAAGGACATGCATTAACCAATGACCCGTTTTGTAAACCGAATGCATTTGGGAATTCAAGAGAAAGACACTAGCCCGTTCACCCCTGACCCTGAGATAAAAACAGGGGGCACTTCACAGGAAAAAACTCACTAATGTTTACTGGGAAGATAATCCAAAAATAGATTTTCTTCTTAGTTTTTAATTACAAGATTCATCCTCAAAGCTGTACTTTCCTGGCCTTTGCAATAAGTCTTTGTCATTTTAAAACTTACAGTTGGAGAAGGATCAGGAAGTCTGTCATAACCCTTCTGCTTCCAGTTCACTTCTAAGAGTTTCATGTGCACATGCCTCCCTTCAATGAAGGCTATATAATCCTTGTAATTGCTGCAAGGACCAGCTATGATGCTCATAAAATTGAGGAGATAGCTTAAATACTCCAGTAAAGAAGGTCTTGACCTGTGAAAATCATTCACACACAACAAAACAAAACAAAGTAAAACACAGCAAGGGTTTTTACCAGTGCTTTTTGTTGTACTGTTTGCCTCAGCCTCCAGCTCTCTCCTACCACCCTCCTCCCAGCTGAAAGCTCACTTAATCTGTTCTGGCGAAATGAGGCACAGCTTCTCTTATATCCCAGTGATGTCTGGCAGATGGCAGTCACAACAAGGGTATCGTGGAAGTGCTTAAGCTACAGGTGAGCAAATGCTACTGATTTGAATAGTTGTCATCTTATTGCTTAGAAACATTTTAGTTAAAAAATGATAAATTTTAAATACCCACTCTCAAACAAATTGACTTGCACATTTTGAACAGGCCAGCAGCATCAGGAGTCTCACCAAGTCTCACCAAGCTGTGCCATGCAGTACCTTGCCTTCTCATGCAGACGACAGGGCAGGGAGCATTTAAGACCAGGACTCTCAGGCCTGAAAGCAGCTCTCATGCACCCTTCAGTTTAGCCTTTTGAAGAATGGGAAGTGTGATGTGAGACATAGAGGAAAAGAATGAAGAGACACTCTGTCCTACTATGCAAATGAAGGAAGTAATTGACTGTATTGTATCATAAACAGGAAAAGGAACTGATTGGAAAAAAACCCACATAAATTAAAAGACATCTGAAGATGAAAGTCAAAGAAAATCCATCATGTTCATTATTTCCATTTTGCAAATTCTAACAAGTTTCTTTGGGGTTTTATATTAGATGTAAAATGAAGAAGATCCATTGACCTTACTATGGATCGGTGGCATGGAAAAGAAAGATGCACAGGCCTCTCACCACTATGCAATTTGTAGTTGTTGGGCTTGTTTTACTGATGTGGCAGAAAACACCAACATCCAAATTCTACACAAATACACAGTGCTCTCCACTAACGTCCTAACAGCCACCCTCCAAGTAAGCAAGGATGAGTATAGAAACTAGAGCTCGGTGGTTCAGGGCTCTCCTATCCAAGAAACAGATGAACACTCATAAACCAAAACCCACTTAAAATTCCTTTAGACCAAACCAAGTTTCTAGCAGGAAAACTAAGCAACAGTTAAACATTTGCTGTTGCCTACTTTTATTCTGAAGCGGAATTAGCTTGAATAAACAGTTAGCTTAGCCAGGATTTTCTGCATTCATGCTAGTGGTTATTGTAGATGTTAGTGCCTAGATGGTATGTTCTCTGGTAAAAGCATTTCACAGAAAGATGCAGCAAACAACTGGGGTAAGGCTCATCTTTCTGTTCTGCAAAATCAGGTTGATGATTTGGGCTTCTGAGCTCTACAGTAAGATTAAAAATAAAGTCATTAGTTTCAGCTTAGATTCTGCACATGGTTGGGTGGGGAGACATGAGCAATGCATGAAGGAATGTACAGAGGATGAGTGAGAAACAAAAACAGACCAAGAATAAGAGGGAAGACAAAAGGCTGTATTACCAAAGGGGATTTAAAACTCTTCAGTTGTGACTTGTCTGCCACTTGAGTTACTGGCATATACTTTTCTGTTATGAGCTCATCTACTGTTCAAGAAAGAAAAAAAAAAAAGGCCTGTTTGGTGAGAATTTGACTAGAATTAATCATATGGTCACAAGGGCCCAGTGCAGTTAAATATTATGATGTGAGCTATAAAAATAGACACAAAGCTATTGGTCATACCAAAAGTTAAACAAGTCTCCCTACAGGATTTTTGCTTTTCAAGAAATTACTCCCTCCTTACTTTTAGAGGCTCATCAGCAGATTTTCTGATGGCTGAATCTTCTGCCTTGGAAATGAAGGAAATAATTTCCTCAGCCTTGAACATTTCATAGTGAGTAGTCGATGAGAAAATGAACATGAGCCAGCAGTGTGTGCTTGCAGCCCAGAAAGCCAACCGTATCCTGGGCTACATCAAAAGGAGGGTGACCAGCAGGTCAAAGGAGGTGATCCTGCCCCTTTACTCTGCTCTCGTGAGACCTCACTTGGAGTACTGTGTGCAGTTCTGGTGTCCTCAACATAAAAAGGACATGGATCTGTTGGAACAAGTCCAGAGGAGGGCCACGAGAATGATCAGTGGACTGGAGCACCTCTCATATGAAGATCGGCTGAGAAAGTTGGGGCTGTTCAGCCTGGAGAAGAGAAGGCTGCACGGAGACCTCATAGCAGCCCTCCAGTATCTGAAGGGGGCCTATAGGGATGCTGGGGAGGGACTCTTCATTAGGGACTGTAGTGACAGGACAAGGGGTAACAGGTTAAAACTTAAACAGGGGAAGTTTAGATTGGATATAAGGAGGAAATTCTTTCCTGTTAGGGTGGTGAGGCACTGGAATAGGTTGTCTAGGGAGGCTGTGAATGCTCCGTCCCTGGCAGTGTTCAAGACCTGGTTGGACGAGGCCTTGGGTGATATGGTTTAGAGCGAGGTGTCCCTGCCCATGGCAGTGGGGTTGGAACTTGATGATCTTAAGGTCCTTTCCAACCCTAACTATTCTATGGTTCTATGATTCTATGAATAGTAGCTATGGTTCTAAGACTAATTCTGTAACACTAATTCTTCAAGAAAAAAAGAAGAAATAAAAAAAAAAAAACTAACCAACCTGTATCCTGCATGTGTATTGAGAGATAAATTAGGGGGAAAAAAAAGGTGCTCAAAGATATGACGAACATGCAGTTTCCCTCCAAAACCTGAGAGGACAAGTCACACAACGCGAAGGACTAGGACTGTTAACATTACAGAGGGAGCTAGGAAAAATAAAATTTCAGAATCTAAGAAGTATAGCAAAGAAAAGCAGTACTTGAAGTGGCAGATTCAAACCCAAACAGATTTTTACTACTACAGTGGTTTGCTGACAGAGGAGGAGTATTCTGCTTGCAAAAATAACATATCAAAGGTAAGATGAAGACAACACCCAAAAGTCTATATAGTACAGTCTTGGCTTGAATATAAACGAGTTGATTCAGCGAAGACTAATTTTGTTGCATGTGGAGTTTATATTTAAGTCAATGAGATGTTGCCAAGTACTTCAGTGCTTTACCGACCAGCACAGGGTGATAAAGACAGAAGTGTTAGACTAAAGAAATAAGAAAGAAAGCAGAGAGTATATATTTGTGTAAGGAGAGTACTGACAGCAGCATTACAAACCAAAACTGCTCCAGATAGAAAAAAACTCAGGTAGGACTTTTGGCTTATCATGAGCTGGAAAGAAGAGAATGTTTTCATGTCCATGTCATTAAGCAACCTAAACCCTGAACTTCTTTGGATGAAATTAAACACAAACCACTAGAAAAATTAAATTCTTACTTTACAGCAAGCCGATTCTGCTCAGCAGTGAGTTCCTCAGCTTGTCGCCCTATTCCTAGAGAGAAATAAAAGCCACATTAGATCTTTCCGAAAGCCAGACAGTGAAAGCTACCCGTAAACCTTATATTTGTATCCCACAGATAACTTACTTTAACTATAAACTTTAAGATTTTGTCACTGGCAGTTGTAATACAGCTCAATTCCTGACTTTCAGATCAAGTATACTCATGTTCTACTCCACCTCTTCACCCAGTTCCTTACCTCTTGCCCCTTTTTACACCTGTGCTACACTTTCAGAAAAAGCAGCCGTAGTATTCTCCACACATGATGCAACTCTCAGTGCCGTTAGCTGGCAGCACCCCCCAGCAGCCTCTACTGGCCTGGAAAAACCCCTGCTGCCATAAGGCAGTGGCTCATTTAAGCACAAGGCTCCCACTGGCTTCTTGCTGAGAAATGAAGCATTTCACAGCAGGAGGAGTGGACAATGGAAGAGAAACAGACTCTTTAGTGAGCAGGAGCTCCACTGGTGTGAACGAGCAGCCAGGCTGCCTGCTGCTGGAGCAAGCCTAAACACACATATCAGTAATAATCTGGAATTGTCCAGGCTGGAAGGGTGACCTCCTGTTGAGTCCACAAGACCTTTGGGGCCAGAGGCAGAACACAGACTCGCTGCCCAGGTAAACTATCGAAAAGTCTTTTATGATGGCCTTCATCATACTGTTCACAGCTCATAGCAAATATCTCAAAACCTTCACTCTGAAGCTTAAGTTGCACATACCGTGAGGGATCCCACTGGCTTCAGCAGAACAACTCACCATGGCACAAGTCACAGCACTGGAAGCTGAGCATGCACATACACAGCTTCACAAGATCAGGGGCTTGGCATCAATTAACACAACTGTTCTAAACGTTGTGGCCATAATTACCAATACACACAAATACAAGACCCGTTTCCTAAAAAGACTGCTGATAAACTGCTCATTTCCATTCTCTCTCCATTCTTTCAGTTTGCAAATACTGAGAGGGTCTGAGTTCCAGGGAAACAATTAAGCATTTAATTACCTAAGGGGCTGGCTATTTTGTTTGTCTGTTTCCATTTATGGGCAGCTGCATTCCATTTTTACAAATAGATATTTGTCACTGATTCTTGAACCACAAGCTGCTTCAACTGCACTATGTATGGAGGTTCAGAATGTAATGAGCTTTTTCCACCATCACTAATCTGTAGGATTTTTGGTTTTCTTAAAAGACTCCTGTATCTGCTGTTATCTTTTCATTCTGTTCATTTACCTTAAATATTTCAGGTGTGCATCTAGGTGCATCTCCTAAATTTTACATCATAACAATTCTATAGCAGGCTACTCATTTAGTCACCACAGCTTATAATGCAATGGGTCTCAGACCATCAGAAATTCACATCACAATGATGATGATTGACATTTCTAGCCTTACAGCTGTACTAGACACAGGCATTTTACTGGGAAATAATAATGCTCTTTGTCACAGCGCAGCACAAGACTGAAGACAATGTTATTTTGCTTGCAACTGTGATTCTCCCTGCACTGGGAAAAAAGCCATTGAATTCCATCTCATAACCCATGGAGTACATTAACATTGTATGTATCAATGATAGCATATTTTTGCTGCATTAATGTTATTGACTCAACCTACGTATCAAACACAGCTCTTGATTTTTGAGAATCAGGAACACCTTCAGAGAGCTTAATGGAGGTGCACTGTAGAATCTAAATACCAGATACCAGTACTAGCTAAAATCCAAATAAGACCCCCCCAGGGAGCACCTAAGGGGAAAACTGGTTGTCTTTCTTACTGCAAAGACAGTTCAATCCTAGAGAAGTGATCAAAACCTGAAGTTTCTAATTTTCAACCACAAAAACATTTTTCTTCTTTATTTGGGGCAGCTCGCTGAACTATTTCATCCACTCTGTAACTCAACCACAGAATGCACTGGAATAAAAAGACTGTCTTCAAAACATGGGAAGAAATTCCTTTTCTTACCATCGTGTAACTGGCATGCAAGTGTTGTGATCTTCTGTGTAATTATCATCAGAGGACTATAACAAAGAAAAACAACAGTCACATGTCTTGTAATACGGATTATTCCCAACTTTCTTACTGAATATCTTTATCCCTTTAAAAGGCATAACTGTACTTGCAACAAGTGGAAAACATCCAATTAAAACTGAAGGAGGCACTCAGGCATAAGACAATTGCCTGGGTTCAAAACAACCCCACAGTAGCTCACACTGGAATTCTAAATTGCTAAATGTGCCCAAAGCCTTACTTTATTTCTCCCCATCCTGCAGCAGTGCAAACTGTAATTCAGGAGGAATTGCACCACTAGGAAATACAAGCTTCTGCAATCAGCTAGTTTTCTTTTCAAGCAAAGACCAAATTTAAGCCCCATACAGCACAACAGTAGAATACAGCAATACTGCTGTGACATAACTCTATTGCTTCTTACTGTTACTCTCCTATTGTCTGTCTCCTCAGTGTCCTAAAAAATTGTCAACTCTGCAGATGCATGAGCTTATTTCCCCTCATGAATACCTCTATCAATTAATTAGGACTGCATGCAAATAAGGAATAGCTGTCAGAACCAGACAAGCAGTGTAGGAATAGCCACTGCGTTCAACAAGACTGTGTATACTTCCTATCTGCAGTTTTATAGAGCTTCTTAGCGTTGTGGGAAATGTGAGCTGCTGGAGGGGAAAAAAAAAAATGGAGAGAAAAAAGAGTGAATCTCAGCTTGGTGCATCAGTAGCTGGTCCCCATGAGGGTAAAGGATGCAGCCAGGAGAATTCAAAAGAATAATAAGAAAGATGAGTGGAAAACCATTAGGTACAACTAACTAGTCCCTCATAGGCACAGGTTCCAGGGCTAATTGTGAATCACATACAGCTTCTGAGGGCTGTGGAGCCATAAACACAAAACCTGATCTGGAATGACACTACCTTTGAGACGTTCACAACCACAGGCACCAGAAGGTTGTAATGGGTGACGAGGATACATCATTATTTAAAAGCATTAATTGTGATATGTAAAACCAGTACCACAGAAGAGATTTGTCTGTGCTGAGGATTAATGCAATGGATTGTGATAAATTTTCAACATAAACCATACAGAGGTTTCTTCTTGAACACAAATGACATCTTCAACATGGAAATTAAAACCCAAGTTTGTGTACATGATGTTTATAGAGTTTGACCATTATACGGAACTTTTTAAAGAGAAAGAGACATAGATGATTACTCCAAATATTATGGCTATCCAGTTAAAATATTGTAGTAGAATGAAAATTACCATCAATGATAAATCTATCTAAAATAACAAATGTTCATGTTCTGCAGAGATTTTCGAGATTCCATACCATCCTTGACTAGATCAACCTACTGGTTACAATCAAATGTAAACTCAATGTCTAAGATAAACAGTTTGCAAACCAATTATCCCACTATGATAAACCAAACTGATTATCAAGGTAATTTATATGCTAAGTATGGCAAACACAATAATATTGGAAAAAGACAGTCTTTCTTCATAAGTGGGTTTGGTTTTGTTTTGGGTTTTTTTCAGTACTAATTATGGCTGACCTTTTTCAGGAGTCCACTTGTAATTTGCGTTTTCTACCCAAAACCAGAGAATATGCAGTATCAGCCAATTTCTCAATCAGAAACTATTTTTATCACTTCATCAGTCTCTACGTGAAATGTCAGTTAAAAAAGTTCACTCATAAAACCCAGAACATGCTTAAATATACAGAGATCTGGAATACAACTCTAACACAAGGGTTTATACACCAGCTGTCTTTGGGTTATCTAGACTGCTGATGGCAGCTAAGGAATGGAAGAATATAGCAATGACTTTCACCTTCTAAGCAACTCCAATATTATGAAAAAGTCATTCTAATTTTTATTCTAACTCATCTTTCGATAAAAAATATTCATGAGCTGTTTTCAGCATTACCTTCAACATCCTATTTCTCAAAGTAGGTTTTCCCATTCAGACAAAATTTAGCTTTCCTTTCAAAGATAAATAAATCCAGATTCTTTAAGCATATGAGAAAGCAGATTCTTTTTAAATCCTTAAGAGAGAGAGAGGCTGTCAGTGATGCAGCAGTTCTACTGCAATAAACACAGATTTTTATTTTGTCAGTGCCTGACCTATTAGCTTTGTGGGTGAACACTAACACTTGTTCCAAGTTGGTTAAATTTGTTGCGTATGTTTCTTACAATAAGGACTTTATGCCAATATTGAAGTGGGTAACTTTAAACCTCAGGCTCTGAGCCAAAACTGTATGCCTTTAAGCACCTAAATTTAGACACTTGTCTTAGAAAATTGGGCCCCCCACTGTAAGCCAGAGAACCAAAATGCAAACAATCTTGATATGCTGATTAACTGAGGGGAGCAAAGTGCAGCCTGCAGTAAAGTCACACGACGTATAAACAGAGAAGAGAGAGGTTCTCTTCATCTATATTAGGAATTCATTGCCTCATTGACAGCACATTGAAACCTAGCAGAACAAGTCAGCTTTTCCTGCACTTAATCAGAGAAGACAGTCTGCCTGCCTCAAGTCCCCACTCTAGAGGAGACATGCAAGCACAAAAGTGATGCTGCTGACACTGTGGGTGAGAGGGAGATCCACAAAGAACATCCAAGATACCTTCAGCTCTCTCTCCTGCCATCATTGTATTACACATCTACATATCTTTTCTATAATCCAACCAGGAAGGTGGAAACCAGCTGTACAGTGGCAATAAGATGATACCCTCTAGATCTTTCACAAGATCAGTATCAGATACCATCAAAAGCTTCACACAAAGGGTAAGCAAGGTTTCAAGTAAACAGGGAGCATCTTTCTCCTCCCTCACCCATATACCATTCCCCCACTGACTTGATTCCAATGGGGAGCCAAGCCTTCACTGCAGATAAGGGCAGAGCACAACAAAACAATGGCAGTAGTGGATCTCCCCCTTCTTCTGGCATCCCTTTGGGTTGCGGATACTGCACTTCTGCACACTTACACCCATCCCATTTCTCCCTGGGGATTCACCAATCTATTCTCATCTCACACATGCACAGAGCAAGTCTAGGACTGTTTTTATTTTCCCAGAAGGAAGTGCAGTGCAATGCATGAGGATGCAAGTCTTGAAGCAGTATTAAAAATCAGATAAGAGAAATACATCTAAATACATGTAATATAGGGTGGAATTAGTACCATCATTTCCTAAATAGACATGTGGGGTTTGATTTAAAACTTGTCCATAGCATTGAATTATCATTTCTATTCAGCCTTTTAAGCAAGCTCTAATTTAAAAAGCAATAAAATGTTGCATAAGTCAATAGATAAAATATTGCATTATATCACATACAGTCACCTGTTTCCTACATGATAATATTTTAAACCTTAGACTCTACTGGAAAAAGTCTGCAGTGCTACAAAAAAGAAGAAAATCTCACAAACCTATAAAACTTCCAAACACCTTGAAAAATTCTCCCAGGGAATCAGTATGAAATAGGAAACTTCAACAAATAATAATGAAGTAATAAAGCAACCAACCAATGGAACTGTCTTTACCTTATGTTAAATACTAAAAAATAACCTTAAAAAGGAAGACAAAATTCCAACAGTTTACAGAGAGCACTCTGCAGTGGGTTTTACCCCCCTAATTAAACCTTCCAACTGAAAACATACCAGCTAATGTAATTTTTAAACATGGCTTCTCTCAATGTAATAAATTTGCCCAGAAGCACAGGCCAGTGGAAACAAAGAGATCAGCATCATTTGTAGACTGCTGTGGGGATCCTCCCCATATCATAGGCTGGCTTCTACACTGAGCAAGCTTCAGCGCTTATGAGAGAAAAGACAAGCACAGTCTGCCTGACCTTAGGTAATCCCATCGAGGAGTCTGGCACATGCTTACTAGAAATAGTTTCCACTGACCTGATTTCACTAAGAGAGGAGGTGGAGTCAAAAGGCTTATTGCAGACAGGACTCTAAACCAGCAAACATGTATTTCACTTTTATCTCTTTAGCCCTGAAGCCACAAAGAGAAGTTCACACAGTCACACTCTGCTACAGCACAAACTGTGCTGCTGGAGGGATCGCCAAGCCAGAGATGCCACAACAGCTTTACCGGCAGTGGGCTCTTACTTCTGCTTTCGACAGCAAAATGAAGAAGTGCTGAAGGAAAAATACTTTACTAAACACACTCATGCGTCCAGAGCAACTTACAGTTTGGTTCATGTGGGTTTTTTGGTGAAAGCTCACATAGAAGCATTTTACTTGATAGAGTATTTACTTCTGGAGAAGTGTCCTGGAATACACTAGCTGTGCAGAGCTCTCTAGTAGTGACTGCCTGCTTGAATTTTGGCTAATTCCCACATTGCAGCTCTTGCAGGGCTTCTGTGTAATCACTGGTAAGTGATAAATCATAGAATCATAGAATGGTTTGGGTTGGAAAGGACTTTAAGATTATCTAGTTCCAACTCCCCTGCCATGGGCAGGGAAACCTCGCACTAAACCACACTCTCAGTGCAGTTTCAAGTGGACAAATGCCCAGAGGAGCAACCAAGCAGCAAGCAGGCATGGAAACCAGGCTGACCCCCCTTATCCACCCTGTAACTGCGCTGCCGTACTGCCCCTAGGGACTTGCTGCGACCAGCGTTACTGAGAGCTGTCGAATATGCCCTGCAACAACACACCACACTTCACATATTTAAAAGACAAGAAAATAGAAAAAACAAACTAAGCTCACAGGACCAGTCGATATTTCTGCACTGTGCTCTGACATGGTAACAGAAAATGTCTATGTTTGTTTCCATCTGCAAAAGTATTTCCTTCATAGAAAACAGGCTGTTGTATTTTTGTTCCTTCCTTTTGTGGCTGATACTAAGCCACTGAGAGGGGAAAAAAACAGCAAGAAAGCACTAACCACCCAACAAAAATTCACTGCCTGAAGTTATGTTTGTTACTGAAGTATCTGCTTACACGACTTTTTGAGAGGGCTTTTTCAATGACCATCCGTTTCTAAGCAGTTTGCTGAGAATGCTGCTGCTGTTCTTCATTTGGGATACAGCGAGAACAAAGAGATGTCCACTCCTTCTGGAGAGTGATGTCCACCAAATTGTTCATGTAAGAGCAAGAGCTGACATCTGCAGGGAGGATATCTGCTCAATTCTCCCTGATGGTTCTCTCTAAGACCAACAGAATATTGAAAGCAATGCCAGTGTGCGGCAACTTTCACAACTGATCTTTTCTGTAAGGAATGGCAAGAAACTCACATATGCACAATCATTCCCTCATGGTCACCAAATGAGCTGCAGTATTAGGAAATTCTGCTTAGACACTGCAAGAATTCAAAGAGGAAACAAAAAAATTTCATGGTCTTAATCAAGCAAAGGATTAAAGCAGATACAACTTCCACATGGATGAGGAGCTCCTCTGAATTCTGTCCAGATGATGACATGCATATTCTATTTGTTCATATAGCTTGCTAGATTGAAACCATGTTTACTACTAGTTTCCAAAAATTCCAATCAAGATCCTTTATTTTAAACTAATTTATCTCTAAAGCCATAATATTACTGTACTCAGTCTGAGCCTGTGATACAAAGAAAAAACCCCACCAAACTGTGTGCTAGTATTACCATTTTTATAAAGTTGTATAGAAACCAGGCAACTTACCAGCATAATCCTCTTAGCATAAAGAACAAGAAATAACAGAGAGAAAGAGAGAGAGTTAGGATTTAGTTTTTCTAGGTACAACGTATAAATGCCACAGCAAACCAAGCAAAATAAAATACGCATGTTTGAAAGATTGATTTGAATTAGAGAAGCACAGCATTCAGTTATTCTACAATCAGTGTTCAAAAATTAATAGTTTTCTTTAAGAAAGTAGTCAAGAGCAAATTGCTACACTATGTCACTGAAATGAAAATTTGGTAAAGTAGAATCATAGAATTATAGAATAGTTAGGGTTTGAAAGGACCTTAAGATCATCAAGTTCCAACCCCCCTGCCACAGACAGAGACTCCTCACACTAAATCATGTCACCCAAGGCTCTGTCCAACCTGGCCTTGAACACCGCCAGGGATGAAGCATTCACAGCCTCCCTGGGCAACCTATTCCAGTTCCTCACCACCCTAACAGGAAAGAATTGCCTCCTTATATCCAATCTAAACTTCCCCTGTTTAAGTTTTAACCCATTACCCCTTGTCCTATCACTACAGTCCCTAATGAAGAGTCCCTCCCCAGCATTTCTATAGGCCCCCTTCAGACACTGGAAGGCTGCTATGAGGTCTCCACGCAGCCTTCTCTTCTCCAGGCTGAACAGCCCCAACTTTCTCACCTATCTTCATATGGAAGGTGCTCCAGTCCCCTGATCATCCTCATGGACCTCCTCTGGACTTGTTCCAACATACAGAGTTTTTAAAAACTAATTGAAATTAAGGTGTACCAAACTGGAACTCGTTTCCATTGAAACCTGGCACATAGTTAAAATAAAATAATGGAGTTTTCACAAAAGTACTAGCAGGTTCATGAAAACCTCTTAAATCAAAACATTGCTGCAAGCAGCTCAAGTAGAGTTTTGATTGTGGGAATCAGTGACCAGGCCTACCTTTGCGTGGGTTGCAAGAATTAACGAGTCATTAGAAGTGAACAAGTTTCCTTCTGAACTTTGAAGTGATGAGTCACAGTTTGATACTCCATTTTCCAGTTTACTTAAAACATGACTCAAAATTTACCCTGTTCTACCAACCTTTACCTGCATTTTACAAGCTGTGTTCTAGAAATGGGAGACTCAAAAAAAACAGCACAACCAGCTATTACTAAAGAACCTCCCCTTCCACTTCCCCCCCCCCCAAAATAATCTATGCAAGCACACATCAAAAGGGTTATACATGCAAGCTGTTAAGTGCACAAAGCAGGTCAAGAGAACAAACAAGGTATGCCAGCTTTCAGCACCAACACCGTGAAACACTCCTTTAGCATCTAGCTCATCACTTTTGGGAACTGACATTGCAAAGCTGATAATGCTAGAACTGGTTACATGCCTATTTGATGTGGATTAAAACTTCCCACTTGCGGTTAGGTATCAGATTTACAGGATACTGAGGACTCAAACACAAGTCAGTAGGTGAGAGGCCCTTTGTTCCCTTTTAAAGATTCCCTTAGAGTGCTTTGCCCTCTCAATGTATGTCCCCAGCTACTTCACCCAAGAGTGTGAGGCTGGAGGGAAATGGGCATTGCTCCATGGATTCTGTCTCAGTTGCTTCTGAAGTCCTGAGGGAGAGCTTGAATGCCATCCTTTCAGCCAGGAGATGGTTTGAATGTTTCCCTATTACCACATGCAACAGATGTGGAACCATAAAACATGGGAGAATGAGCAAGAAGAGGTTGAGTTGTTGCTCATACATGGTAAAACTGTGGTCAGCGAGTATATTTTGTCTCTCTGGGTCATCACATCTGTTTAGGTATGTGCATAAAGTTTCAGTAAGAACATAAAATTTACAGCTCAAGAAAACCAGTTTTAAGACAGATTTATGAGACTGACCTTTGCTTCAGCACTTTGGATTGCAAGTTTTTATTGATATCACTGCAGTATTTTTATTTTGTCTTAGTTTTCAAAATACACCATGAAGATGCAGCCTATATCCATACTACATTTTCCAGTTGTTTGCTACTTGGCAGCTTTATGTTTGACTGAAATTTAGGAATTGGTTTATATCTTGAAACATCAGAACAAAATCAAATAACAGAGGAAATTCAGTATCATTACTATCCTCAAGCTCATCACTAAAGAAGAGTAGCTGCATTTTCATCAAGACAGAAAATGTTATAAACAAGCACCATTCCCATTCTTCCACCCCCAGTTTCAGCTGGATCTTTATTAAACGTTTTCAGCGGGAGGCAACTAATACACCTCACAGTGCACCTCTGAACACACTGCTCAGAAAAGCATGCTTCCTTGCATTTCTCTGTCTCATACACACACACACCTACATCATTCCAATCTCATTTGTAGGCTTCTTGGTATGTCATGCTCTTTCAGGACATGCCTTTGTATATTAAAAGAACTGCAGAAAAATACAGAGCTAAATTTGTCTAAACGCACAAGTTACCATTTCTGCCCCCTCCTCTAAATAAAAAAAAAAAAAACCCAAAAAAAAAAAAAAAAAACAAAACCAACAAATTTAACCTCAAAAGTCTTATAGGAACTTTGCCCCTACTCCCTGAAATGCAATTAAAACCTTAAATCCACCACCCACACAGACAGCAAAAACCTTTGGTTTCCTTCTCTATGCCTATAAGAAGACAGAGGCTTGGAAAAGGCATCAACCTACTTGTGCCAGCTTACAGAAGCTTTTTGTAGTATGTTACTAATTACTCTGTATTCAGACATTCAATTAAACAAGTGGAATACAGATTAGCACATGGTTTTCAAATCATGCAAGAGCATACTTTCCCCTTATAAACAAAATATACAGGGTTAGCTGTGTTTTTGCAAAGCATCCTCTACTAAATCAGAGACCACAGTATACATGAAGAACACTGTTCCACAGAAATGCATGCCATATGTAAAAAGTTGTACTATTCAAACATCAGCCACAACCCATCTCTGTGAGATAACCTGTAAGCCCAGCACCAAACATGATTCTGTTTGTCCGTCTGCTTGGGTTACCCACCCACCAAACCTCCCAGCTCCTCCACCCGCTCAACCCCTGCTCAAGTCTTGTCCTCCCACCCACTGGAGTGCCTGGGGTGGGAAACACCTTCCCAGTGGGGGCATCAAGATAAATCAGAACACAGCAAAGAATGACCCAGAGTGATGGCAGTGCCTAGGAAGGTGGAGGAGAGCAGCTCACCCCACCTCTCAGGGCAGACCATCAGGGACCAGAGAACCAGCTGTGCTGCTCACCTCCAGCAAGCCACTGTGCAGATTTATTCCACCTAGAGCATCTTAGGAGAAGTTTAGCTAATCAAGGTCTACTTTCCTAACTAGATAATGCTTAGCAAGAAAACAGCAGAGACAATGAATCAATGCAAAAATCACACAGTGTTTATTCCTTCCTTCCTAAAAACAAATAAATGGATAAGCAAACCAAAAACCACAAAACCAAAACACAACAACATCAAAAAAAAAAAAAAAACCCTGAATAACCAACAAAATAAAAAGCCTTAGAAAAAGCTTAAGAGAAACAAAATTGCAGGTGCTCAACAGATAACATAAAAATTATTCTTGAAACACACTGAATTCAACTAATGCTAATTGACACAGAACCCAGCTCACAGACTCACTCACCCGGAAAAATCTGTAGTGAGAATACCATAATGAAATATGTATATTCGGCTTATGTGGCACAACGTGAGGTATCCCATAGCTACAACAAAGGAGTACCTAAAAACATAACATACAGAACACACAGTTACCAACACAAGTACCGACATGAGCTAGAATCACTCAAATAGATCTGGGGCTTGTTTAGGAGCAGAGTTCGACTTTTGCAAATTAGGTTGTTGAGAAGTCTGAAGCCATATTACAAGATCTGGCAGAAACTTTCAAAGAGGACTGATAGTGTTGTGTACCCAACTCAAACATTCCAGAGGTGTCTCCTCACACTGGGGGTGGGAAATGGAATAAATAAGAACTCTTTGAGTCAGGCATCTAAATTTTAGAATTCCAGCCTCACATATTATTTTGAAATGTTTGACCCAAGTATTTGAAACCAGGCGCTACTGTATGCACATCACTAATGTTATCTCCTGCCTTTTTTGTCTGTAAAAGTCCTTTATTTACATGTACAACTCTTCCTCAGATGTACCAGAAACTAATATCTCAAGTTCAAGATATTTTCTCTCTCCTGATTTTATATCAAGGCAAATAATGACACAGCCTAATCTTTTCAGCTCTACATGCTGAAATATGCCATCTTCCAGAAGAATCATAGAACCATTTAGGTTGGAAAGGACCATTAAGATCGTTGTGGCCAACTGAAGAAGCATTCCTTAACTGGGGTGTGGCAAATTCACTCTATTTTTTAAGATGATCCCAAAATTATGTCAGACAGGACAGTAGCATCACTGTCTCTTTAAGACTTGAATGGACAGAGAACTGGAAGTGTTGCAGTATCTAGTGGGGGAAGATACAGCCATTATAGAGCTAACTTCTCCCTGTATTTAACCAAGCAAGAAAGAGGATACTGGAAAGGTAAGAAGTGAATGGATACTCGGAAACAGACTGATACATGAAGCAAACTAGACAGTTCAATGGAGAGCTGGGACACCAGAATTGCATCACATGGACAGGCATCAGATCCTCAGCCAGCCCAAGCCCTGAAGACAAGTGAAGAAAGGGTTTCCATTCCACAGCTTAAACTGATGTGGATGTGAGCATTCAGCAGCAGTTACAGAAACAGCCACACAGCATAGAGACAGAAATCACCTGTAAAACACTCACAGTATTAACCGCATGCTGTTAGGGAGACCAACACAAAAGTAAAGACGTGGGATGAACTGCCAGCTCATCCTTCTAGCCTGCTATAAAGTAGCAGTTTTACAAATAAAAATCCTTATTTGTGCAGATGATTGGGAAGCAAATGACTCCACCTGCACAATTTTAAAAACTCTCATGCGCTGAACTCTAACAGACAGTATGGTAGCCATACAAGAAGGCTCAATGATGAACAGAGTTCTTCCACATGGACTTCCTCTTAGTAAGTGAAAGAAGCAGATATAAATAAGATGTAGTTTTCATTTCCATATGAAAGCACTTTTTGCCTTTGGGTCAGGAAGACAGTCATTTCACAAAGCACTTCAGGAGTCTTAAAGTGTCTTTCTTCCTCTCAGACATTCGTATAGGGAAAAGAAAGATCCCATGGTGGTGAACTTCTCATGATGATGCTGTAAGGTTCTGCTTCAAAGCAATGACATTTCTGGTACTTTCTACTTTTCAAGCTCAAAGCCCAGTACCAAATGCAAGACTTAATTTCATAGATCACTAACTTAAGCTGCCACAGTGACCTTATTTGAACTACCTAACTCAAGAATAAGTGGAAAATACCTGAAGGCCAAACAGCAAAGGGAAAACACATTAAAAAGGATTATCGAAAGCAATCCTCAAGACACAAGACCAAGGAGAATATGACTTCATTATGTTTAAGAAACCAGAGGTTTGAGCATAAATTATTAAGCCTGCAAAAGCCAACTTTTGAGGCCAGCAGTTTCATAGGGAGATGCAATGTATCAGTGCAAAAAACACAAATTGAAATTACAGCTGCTTCTGTAACAGAATGAACAAAGCTCCTCAAGTAACTGGGAAATAAAGTCTCTAGACTTACAGCCACATTAGCTCACCTGTGGATGTTGGGAATACTTGCCATATTCATAATGCCATAGTTCATCATCACCAGGACAAAAAGATGAATGGAATACCTTGAAGACAACAAAGTGAGTATTTAGATAATTTCTACGTGACCTGGAAGGGCTGGCAGTTCAGAATGAGGAAATATTTTTCCATGCAAATGACATAAATGGAATGTCATATCAGGGTATCAGTAAACATGGATTATGACAATGACATCTTTATAGCATGCTATCCATCAGAAGTTAATATTTATGCCAAGATATATTGTCAGCGTATTTCATTGAAAGAAAGACCAGCCTGACTCAAAGTGCATATTCACACTTAACACATCTTCTCCAAAAGAGGCATCTTTGCAACGGACTGGTGTGACTTTAACTGCCAGAATAAACACCACAGATTAAACAATTCACTCAAATACTTTCACGGCTCATTTTACTTTGAGGGTTTGGGAATTGTTTAGAATAACATAGAAAGTGCCTTAAGACTAAAACAATGTAATCCAGAAAAGCCAACATGAAGTTTAAAAATACTTTTAACCCAAGCCTTGTCTACGTGGTGACTCAATACTCACCACCCAAAGCAGAAGACAGCAAAGTATATCCCAAAGAGGGTGGCAAATGCATGGCGAACAGCAGAGCTGGCATGACTGGGACCCAAGTAAATACGAAACCAAAATGCAGCCAGAAGTGCAAAGAGTTGACAGGCTACAAAATTGATCTGTAAAAGACAAACAAAAAAAAAAATGGTTGTGATTCTTGCAGGATGAGGGGCAGGAGTTTCTCCATCCACAGAACAATAAAAAGTAGGGCCAGGAAAAGGAGGGGAAAAAGGGAGAGCAATGACTCTTTTGTTTCATAGCATTCTGATTTGTGAGCCCAAGTGATAACTTTACCAGGCCAACAACAAAAGGGATTAAACAAGCACACAGACACCCAAAAACTCAGACAAGAGGACAAGCAGGTTCCAGTTACCCCAGGTACGGCAGGCTCCAGGCTGTTCTCACTCTCCCCAGGGCAGGGCTCTGCTCTGCTGCCAGCAACACTGGCGTGCCAGCACAAGCCAGGTTCAGGGGACATCACCCTCTCTGTCATGTTAGGAAGCAGAGGCCAGGGAGTAGACCAGGATTCTGAAGCATTGTCCTAGTGCCCAGATTTCTACACAGACCAAAAAACAAGGGCAAATCCAACAATCCTGGTGTGATGCTGTTTCACAAACAGTAACTGGAAAGCCTTCTTAGCAGAAATCCTCCACTCCACAGCATCCTCCAAGCTTACCATTTTTTTTGAAGTTCAAGAGTGCAAAGAAAACAATTTTGCTCTACTATCACACAGGCAGCTAAGGGAAAATGCTTCTCAATCATTCTTTGGCTACTGTACGTCTCTATAGAGCATGGGAAAGCAGCCTAGCCCCATTGTAAGGAGGTGCTAATCACAATGGGAACACAAGACAGGTATATTCGGAAAGCAGGCAGTCCTTGACTAAAGGCTGCTCTTATCAAACACAAGGACAAGCAACAGCTTCAGTATCCTCAGAAGAAAACTGACATCAAACTGCCTTCTTGAAGTCACTTTCTCTTTGACAGCCTCGGCAAATATCACAGAAGTCAGAGGAAAAACAGAGCTCAGAAACTGTCTCTAACAGAGGAATATAGCATTAGGATACATCCCTAAGTCTAGCCTGGACCCCAGATAGTGGGAGTTAAATTTATTTTTAATTTATTACTTACAATTTATAAGATTATTTATAATTATATAAATTTATTTTATAAATTTATAAATTTCTAATTTATAACATTATTAATTTTAAGGAAAAAACAAACCAAACCAAAACAAAAAAACACCCTTGAGGACTCCCCAACAGCAAGTCATCCTGGAATGAGCAAAACTAAATAGGCTGCAACATTTAAACAATCACTTGGATTAGAGGATTATCCAAAGCTGTCAGCCCAGGACAGCATGATATTTCTCACTTGGAAATGCTCTGACATGTTGGCTGTCCAGAGGTGGTTGGATTTGGGCAGGCTTCTTGTCAAGAACATTTACAATGTGTTTAACAAGATACTACAGCCCCAAACTGCTTTCATTCTCATGGACTATATCCATCACAGTCCTGTACAAGCAAATGTTTTTATTAAAGGTTTGTTGGGCACGTTGCTGCAGTTCTTTTATTTCAGTGGTGCAGACAGCCATGCAATAGAATAATGCAACAATTTAAATACTTGGATATGCTGAATTTTAGTTCTCTAGAGCAAAGACAATATCAATTTATTTTTTGTTCCTGTAAGCAACCAGCGTTTATTACAGATGGTATCACAGAGCTAGACTTAAATGCAAGCAATTCTTATTTTCCATGCAAGATTTAAAAAGTAAGAGAACAAAGTTACACTGGTCTCAAAAAGCCCAAATGCTGCAATACAAACCCCAAACTCTCATCTGGTCTATTACCATACAGCTCCACTCAGAACATTTAACTCCTCCCTCCCCTCCTTCCACAGCCATAGGTGCCACAGAAATGACTGATGAGAGTACATGCCCTACAGGGATGCTCTGATTGCATCCTTTCTAAGCAAGCTTCTAACATTGATGGATGCCAGTTCACCAATGACAACTCAGTGAACCTTAATACCACTTTAGCCTACTTCATACTCTTACATCCAGTGCAGCAGCTCAATTTTGTGGCATGCAGAGCTCATCTGATTCAGTATAAAGAAGGAAAGTGCAGAGACTCCAAGAAACCTGATGTGGCTGATTGTTTAAAAGACAATACCTGCTTCTGTGCAGCATCACTCATAGAGGCTTTAGACCAGTAAAAAACATCAAGATAAGCAGCTAAGTGCCTTTTACTTTCAGTCAGTTCTTGTATGTTCAGCTTGAGATGTTAAAAATATTGGGACTTAAGAGGTTCACGCACACAGCAAAATGAAAGTGCAAGACCCCATATTAGACACACTTATAACAGCATTTACATAGCCAAGGCAGCAGAAAGCAAGCAGCAGAGACTTCATCACAAGCTAACACACAGTATATGACGGCACAGCAGCCTTGCATACCTACACTGTTGCTTGCTACTTGGTGCTACTTGGATTAAAGTTAGCAGGGAACATCAACCATGCCACTACCACATCTTTAATTTGTTGTACGAAGGAACCGAGACAATGTCTCCTCTGCGCTGTTTTTGCAAGAGCAGGGGTAAAGCCTTCTACTAGGATAGAAGCATAAGTACATGCTAGCCTTACATTTCAATCAGCTTTCAAGTTAAAAGGGTTGTTACTGCAGAGCAACCAAACATCAGAGACCTAAAGTACTCAGCAAGCAATCGTCTCAGAATACTAGTTTACATTTTTTTGTAATGAATTAAGCTAGAAAGTACCTAACAGAAGAATGATTGCAACACACCTTTAGAAGTTACAGATATGATTCAAAATCCCCCTTTTCTTCAGGATCCATAAATGACAGAGGCAGTGTCAGAGGTACCAACACAAACCAGGATTCCTCAGTGTCATATGAACATTACGTGACTTATCACAATAACATCGAGAAAGCTGCACCCAATGCATTGCTTGGGCGATAGACTTCCAGATACAAAAAAAATGCAGTCTGAAATGCAGAAAGATAAGACTTTTGCTCACTGGCCGAGAACATTCACGCCTTTGCCCTTCCTTCTGAACTGCAGCCACCACAACTCTTCAGTAGCTTTCCAGGTTCCTCTCCTCCCTGACCATGTTTTCCTGACAGGCAGCAATGCTGCACTAAGGCTTTCAGGTTCAGGTTTTTTTTGTGTATATCTACAATAACATATAAACATTAAAAACAACATGATCAGTTTCAAAGATTCATCAGCAGAAGGACTGGGAGAAGGATAGCAATGAACAAGAAAACCAAGTAAATACAGAAGTTACTGATAAAACCTTCCTGTCATCCATGACATATTTGGTACCTGTTGAACAAGAACATTGAGAAATAGCGTTGGAGAATACTTCTTTTACCTGTCCACCTATAAACCTGCACTTAGAATTTGAGTGCACTAAAATGACCTCCGATTTCCGTGGGGTTCAATCTGAAGAACAAACTTATCTGAGCAGAGCTCACTGCAAGGTCTAGCATGCAGTTTACTACAAGACTGACTTTTAGAGGTGCTGAGTAATTGCAGAATACTTCCGCAGATCACAGAATTACAAAATCATTGGGGTTGAATGGGACCTCTGTAGATCATCTGTTACAACCCCCTTGGCCAAGGCAGTACTACCTAAAGCAGCTTACACAGGAACATGTCCAGGCAGGTTTTGAATGTCTCCAGAGAGGGAAACTCCCCAACCCCTCTGGCCAGCCCATTCTAGGGCTCTGCCACCCTCAATGTAAAGTTGTTCTTTCGCATGTTGAGGTGAAACTTCTCGTGGTTTAGTTTATGGCCATTGTTCCTTGTCCTGTTGCTGCACACCACTGAAAGGAGTCTGGCACCATCCCTGAGATATTTATATGCATTAATAAGGTCCTCTGTCTGTCTTATGTTCTCTAGACTAAACAGCCCAGCAATCTCTCCTCATAAGAAAGATGCTCCAAACCCCTGATCATCTTTGTGGCCCTCCACTGGATCCTTTCCAGTAGCTCCTTGTCTTTCTTATACTGATGAGTCCAGAACTGGACACAATACTAAAGATGTGGCCTCACCAGGGTCGAGTAGAGGGGGAGGATCATTTCCGCTGAGTTTACCTGAGCCAAGCTGAAACCTTGGATAAAAAGGCCAAATCTTTTCTTAACTATAAGCCATCACAAAGGGGGTGGGGGAGGGGGGAGGGGAAGCTGGTTGTTTCTTGGGTATGAGGAATATAGGACAAATGTCCAGTAGAACTGGGATGCTCCTTTCCATATGCTAGAAAAAATTCATTCTGCTTGGCAGGCTGAACTCCATATTTAAAACTGAGCACCAGCTCTGGTAGCAGACCAGATCTGGTCTGTTCTCCACAGAGCAATCAAGGGATGTGGTAGCTTTTTGTATGACTACTGCCTTTTATATAGTTATTTACATGTAACTTTTTAAACACACCCAGCATTCACGTATGTACAAAGACAGCCAGTTCATCCAATAGTGACTTTGCTGCATTTTATTTAACATGCATTAATTTTATTCTCTAAGCATTTAAGGTACATAAGTAAATAGATCACTGAAATTTCAAGTAATGTTGTACTGCATAACAAGTGAAGTAAGTCACACATTTCTCTCTTTCCCTTCCCAAAGAGAAAAGACTTCATATTATTCCCTTTTGGTTATTTCCACTGCTGTAAAAAAGGTTTTGTAAACAGTAAATTGAAGGCTTCTGAATATTGATAGATTGTGTCCACAGAAAAACAACATGGAAATAGAAAAGAAATTATAAGAACTAACACTTCTCCTTGCAACTCACCCTTATAAACTATTTAACCCCTGTTTTTAGCTAGGTGCATTTATTCAGTGTTGCCATCAAATTTTGTACATGTGGTTTCAACTTTACCAGCAGAAAAGAAACATTTCGGCTTTTTATCGTCATTTTCTTCTATGCTCCAGCAAGCAAGATGCAATAGAAGTAGGAATAGGAGCATATGATATGTTGCCAAAACAAGATACTATCTTCCTTTCATTTTCCATGATTAAACATTGGAAAGCAAAAAGGCAGTCTCATCACAGTATCCTGGAACACCATCTGGAAGACTTGTATCTGAGTCACAGCCAGCTGAAGACAG